AAGATTTTAGAATAACTTAATGACAGAATTTTAGTGTTGAGAAAAATATCGAAATAAATTTTAATATTGCAATTTCCGAAATAATTTTTAGACAACAAAAGTTAAATATGAAATGAGAAACAAATAAAAAAAATAGAACTTGAAAGTTAAATAATTTAAAATAAACAAATTTTAAACAATTGAATTCTAAAATAATAGAACAAATTTATAAAGCGATAAAACAGAAATATTTCTACAAATAAATAATTAAATTCAAGGAAACGTAAGAAATGTTAGATTCGAGTACATATTTATTCATATGATTTTAATAAATAAATTAATGTAGACAGTACAGATGTATGTCTTTGTCTATGCGTAAATGTGCTTACGTATACACAAACACATAGATGAATAATAATAGAACATAAGAGTAAGTGAGAAAAAGTATGTTGCACTCTGACCCAAGTAGAGGGACATGCAACATTTTTAGGCAAATTTAAGAGAGAGGGTAAGGGCCCGAGAAAATAGACAAATAATTCTACAAATAATAACAAATAATCTCTCTCGTTGTCCTGACGTCCTAGTGTTAACATCGTACATAGTTTAAATAAGTCTCAATAGACCACGTGTAAATCTATTGTATAAAAAGTAAAACATTTGTAAAGGTAAAGTAAAATTGTAAAGTGAAACCAACTAAAATAAATTAAATCAACAAGGTTCATCAATTTTTTATCAGGTATATTTTAAATTATTAATATTTGTGAATTTGGTAATATTGTAAAATCGTTATATGAAAGAAAAGTTAACTTCAATCACTGTGTAATAATTGTAACTATTGTAAATTAACTAATGATATTAATTTTGGATTTAAACAATATATGTATTAAAATTATTCAACTACATCAATTTATTCAAACAAACTTATCATTCTCAATAAACTAAAACTCGGAAGTTCCCGGTCTATTAGCCTAACACGCTAGGACCAAATACTTAAACACATTAAATATTTTAAATGTAAAATTAATTAATTACCCTAAATTAAATATTTTTTACATAACACAATCCTGTAAAAATAGAACCTATGAAATTTTGACAGCACCTGATCGTCCGGATTCATGTTATATTTGATCCAAACAAAGTTCTTTTTATAAATAAACGAGTAAATGAATCCAAAGATGAAAAAAAATGAAATGAATACCCGTTACAAATTAGCATTGAACGTACGGTTTTGTACGGTCATGTATACTAATCGTTAAAAGGTCTCGTTAACCGAATCCGCTTCAAAGATTAGTAACTACAAGAGTACTCGAGCTGTATAACATTTCACGCATACAAATTGGACAGATTCATATTACAAGAAAAAAAGGCAAACGGAAATATAAAGCATAAAACGTGGTAGAATTCGTTACAAGAGAAATGAATTTATTGATAGAATAATTCGTTTTCATTCTTTAGCAATTAATTTAACTTTAAAAAAAATTTATAAGAATTTAGATTAAATCAAAATTTCGGCTTTGACTATTTTGAAAAATCTCAAAAAGAAAAAAAATTAATTTTTTTTTCAAAGATTTTTCACTTAAAAAAATGTTTTTACTTGCATTGTTCTTTTAATTTTTTATTTTATTACTTTGAAATTTTTTTGTGCATTATTAAAATACTAATAAATCATTAGTAAAAAGAATAGATGGCAAAAATATTTTTCGTTTTTTTTTATCAAATTTTTATAAGCGTAAATTCTAGCCTCTAGACTAAAAAATTATCTTAATCAATTCCAATTGTTTATTTATTTTTCCCAACACAAAATGAATAAATTGAATATACTGTGACAAGCTAATAAATAAATTTGATTATAGGAGCCCAAATGCGCCTGGAAAGATGACCTATTTAACCGACGGACCAAAAGAATGGCGTCAATATCAAAAAACATATTGGCCTGAATTCAATAACATCACAGAAATTTTCTTTAACTTAAGTAAGAGTCTACTTTTATAGATGTTAACTTCTTAAACTATAGTATCAAATCCGATTAGCAAAGTTATAATTGAAAAATTTAATGCAATGTAACTCTACAGCAATACCGCCGAAGGTTGGGCGCCATTATCGATCATCAGAAATGATGTTTTGGAACGAAGACATTCCCAATCTAATTAGACACAAGCCTCGAGGCCCTAGACCAGACTTTCTCGATCACATTGATAAGGACGACCAGTACAGAAACACCAGCTACCCTGGAGTTGACGGGCTTGGCATAAAGTCTACCACCATGGCGCCCACTAATTCTGATCCTGGTTATTACGGATCTATCGAACGAACTGGAAATGACTACTCAGATAAACCTCCCGTCCCTTGGGCTCCGAGTCGCAGCAAGAATACTTCGCAAATGAACCACAAATATAATCCCAACGATGATAATAATAATAACAATAATAATAATAATAATAATAATCATAATAATGATGATGAAAAATCAATGACGGAAAGCAGCTTCAAAGCTTCCTCAACTTTCACCATGGTGGTTGGGATCAGCGTGTTCTTTTTGTTGATAAACCTGACGGTCCTCTTCTACATCTACCACAGAAGGCAGCGGATAAAGAAGAGCAAAGAGTCGTCTTTATCACAGAAGCTCAAGCGAAACACTAGTGTCCTCACAGGCTCCAGAAAATCGAAGACGAACCAACATCATTGCAATGACAATCATGGAGAAAACGCTGGGGAGCTAAACCGAAAATGTGAAAGCAAACCTGATATCCATGAAGTGATTAAGAGCGATAAGGCTTACGATAATAGCTCAAACTTCGGAAGACAATCAAAACTTTCGAGGCAAAATTCTAGCTCGACCATCGACACTCATATTAAAGTTAAGGAATGGATACAGCAGGAAATTGTTCACAGGTAAGAAACTCGATCAGTAACTAAATTTTGTTATTACATTGTTATTTAAGTTTTCAATAGCAATTATTCGGAAAAATGACCTGATCCCTGATATGGGTTTATATGGTCATATATGGGCATCTCCGGGCTGATGTATAGATAAATGTAAATTTACAGAGTAAATTACAAAGTGTATCTGTTTTTGAATGAAGTTGTACAAACAACTAAAATGAATTTTGTATCAACTAGGTACACTGAAAAAAAAGTTTTCTACTTGGCGCCATCTACTGTATAGTAAAAGGTGTATCGTTACGGGTACAATTCGTACAGCTACGAGTAGCAGTCTGAATCGTAACCGTCACGATCTATTCGGTGCCATTCACGAAACGTATAGCTACCGTAGTATACCGTTTTCCTAACCTCACTCTCCTCTAGATGGTAAAGTGTAGATCGTGATAGTAGCGATCTCATATAGTGCGGAGCAGAAAACTTTTTTTTCAGTGTATTAGTGTCGTTCATATTTTCGAAACAACAAAATAAAATCAGAAATGATAAATTTTATTTATGCTTCAAATTTGTCTCCATCTTGATATGGCCATATTAGCTTTGATCAGGTCATGGCCAATTTCGATATCAGGCCTGATATGAACGGCCCGTATCAGGCCATATCAGGTCTGATCAGAATATTTTTTCACGGGACGAGACAAACCAGTGATCAGGCGCTCTCTGTTGGAGATTTTTAATTTTTCCTTAGGTCGAAAAAAATATATATGGGGATATATGATCGAAATATAGTCTTATACATATCTTTAATTTTCCTATTAAGCCATATATAGTCTCACTTGTCTTAATATGGCCTCATATAGCCAATTTTCCTATTAGATTGCAAATTGGCATATTAAATTTTGGGATATATTCAGCTATATTAAGCCACATGTGTTTATGTCGGGCCTGATATGGTCAAATTCAGAATTAAACCATATCAGAGCATTTTAAAAACAATATACGGACAGGTCAGATCATATATCAGGCCAGAAATAGACATCAAAATTTTTGTATGGCTACATATGGATATATCAGATCTGATATGGGCTTATCAAGTCATATTAGTCACCTGGAGCTTAATTTGTCTTGATATGGCCTCACATGGCCAAATTTCATGTAAGATATTTTTGGAGATGTAAAAACTTGCATATGGGCATATCAGATAATTTATTACGGAAAGTTATCATATAGTTATTAGAGCATTGTTTAGAATAACAACTATTAAAAAGGAACGATAACCATGATTAACATAAAACTCTCAGTGAACTGAGGAATAACAAGGTTTGTTGTCTCTCGAAAGTCTTAGTCCAAGTTCAGAATGTAGCCTCAGTCTTAGTTCCCATTCTTGGCAGGGCATTGTTGTTTGGATGTTGATGCAAATACAGATGTTGAAGTTGATGTAGGTGGAGACAAAGATGTGATGGGGGATGCAGATAAATACAGGTACAGGGTAGAGAGCAGGAGTAAGAGAATGAGAATGAAGGATTGTACACGCCTCGTTGTAGCTCTAGTACTAGTCCAAGTGTGTCTAATTGAGCGAGTCGTATTCGTTGTTCAAGTGCACTTATATTAACGATTTGCTCGACCAACAACTGCAATGGAGTTCTTGACCAACCTGGGCTGGGGTAATCCAATTACGCTTGCTTCCTCGAACAGTCGTTCGTATACTGTTGGACCAAAATGCGGTCGACAACCTCAGACTACTTATGCTACTTGTCTGTGTGTATAAATCCTGGAGATAAGCAATTATTTTTTCATTTAAAGAATACCATTCAGGAAAGAAAATTTTTCTTATTCAATCTCACTTTTTACACCCGATTTACATTTTCTGATTTCGTATATTTTATCGTGTTATTTTATAATTGGGCCGTTCTCGAGGGTCTTTCGGAAGATTTTACTTTCAAATTCTGACTGCAAATAGTTCTGTCTTTAATTGCATTGCTTAATCTTTTTAAAGCATTCTTTTTTGTAGAAGTGAGCAAAAAATAAGGTTACATTATTTAGAAAAAAAGTATTCAAAATACTTATCACATATCATTGATTTAACTTAATATAAAAGAAAAAAAATAGATGTATATTTATATTTATATTCTGTAAAATATTCGCCTGGTTTTGTTAGTTAATTGAAATTTCTATAAAAATATTTCAATAAACAACGCAATGTTGTATGAAAAATTCTTTTCAATGTATCACTTAAAATAAAATTTATTAAACTATATCAAAATATTTCAATATTGCAAAAAAAATACATCTTTTCCATGATCCCGTAAATTCCATTCATTGCAATCTAATTTTATTATAAAGATATTCTTTGAAACAAAATTAATTAATCAAATTATTGGGGAAAATTCCGTACTGACAAATCTAGTCGTTTATAGTCTTGAAATTAAAAAATAATGAAATTACCAGAACATTCCGATGCTATAACCGGTGAATTTATCAAACGAAACCCAAATGAACTTGATTAACTCCAAAAATGAAATCTATCAAACAAGTTCTTTGAATGTAAATAGAATCAAATAATTCAATACTAATTAGTAATTTTACTAATAAATTAATTCCATGTGAACATCAATAATTAACAAAGACTTTCTTTGCATTGTTACAGATGTTCCCCACGTTTTTTGCGAAAAACACGAGAAACTTTGCAAAAAGAGCACCAACAGAAAATCATCCACTCTGATATAGAGCGGAAAAAGCAGGACGAGCAATTAAAATCAGAGAAGCCGGAACCAATATACGATCAGAGTCCGGCGCTAACAATCCGACCGGGGTTGAAAAACTCCAAGTGCAAGCCGGGCAAGGTATCAGTAGCGATCGACGCGACCCCAGCAACCCGCACCGAATCAATCCTCAATCAAGTGCCAATAGAGCTCGTTAAAGACATCGTTGAAGATTCCAACACATACGAGGAATTCATCGAGCTCCAAGTTCCCCAGGTGGTGGTCATCGAGCACCACCATTCGCGCAGCGACCCTCTTCCAATGGAAACCGTCTTCAAGACAGCTATCAATCAGCGGCCCTCCACCTACAAGAGCGGTTCGTCGCGGGTGTACGAGTCCGATTCGGGCAGCGCGAGCAGTCTGTACGCGAAAATCAACCCCATGTTGAAGAAGCTCCCCAAGTTGAACTTGAACGCCTGCACCTTGGAAGAAGACGTCTCCAACGACACCTGCGACGGAACATCCAGCATGGTCTCCAAAACCTATCAAAGTTTCGATGAAGGAATCTACGGAACTATTCCTAAAATGAGCACCTTCGCACACCCTTCAGAGGACATCAACGTGACCAGCCTCGACCCGGTCATCGAAAAGGACCCGATTAGTCCCGAGGAAGCCCTCAAGACCATAAAAAGACGGAATTACCCGAAAGTTTTGCCGGACATTGAAAAACGGCGCTCCCTTCCAGTGACTAATTTTTCGACTCTGACCAAGCAGAGCACAGGGGGAACCGCAGCAGTAAATCACAGAAAGGGACCGCACCCTTCTTGCGGATCCGGTTGTCCACCACAGCCACCGCCAAGAATCTTCGGCACTTCAAAGAGTCTTGATTTGCCCGAAGAAGAGGAGAATGAGAGAGAACCAATTACTACAAATCTCCATGTCGGTCCATTGTTGAAAAGACAGGATTCTTGCGGTAAGAATCGCTCGGATTCCAGCATCATTGATTCGATTGAGCGGATTGCCATTGACGCTCAGCAAGTTCTATATCAACATAATCGCAATCAAACTGAGCTGGATTCATCAAGCTCTATTACGCCAAATCCGAAATGCCCTGTGCACGGATCCTACAAAGCTTTCAATGATGAAATGTACACCAATAGCAGGTCCGCTGACGGTTTGGACAGGAGTGTGGGGAGCGATGATTCGTACTGGTACGAGAATTACGCAGGGGTTGAGACCAACAAATCGCTCCCGAATGTCAGCATTAGAAACAAAAACTGCTACCAAGTGGGAACGGAAAAGGGAGCCGTTTTTGGGCGGGATGCTCAACCTTTAGCGAAAGAAGGTGAAGGTTTGAGGATAGTTATCACCCCTAAGGTGCCCGATGCCTCTGGTAACTTTGCTAAGGAGGAGGATGTTCCTTTTGCAAAGCAAACTGAGGCTTTTAGTGTAATTAGCGAGCGGAAAGAACCGAAAATAGTGATCGCTCCTTCGGGTACGCTTAGGCCTCCGAAGATAATCATAAAGCCTGGTACTAAATTCGAGAGAAAGAGAGAACGAGCGATTCCCAAGGTTTCGGCTATTCCCTCGCCGGAGATTCTCAGCGAGAAACCTCCCTTGATGGAGAAGCCGAAGGTCACTAGGATCCCTTCGCTGAGGAGGAGGGGCAGCGATGCCAGCACGATTTACTCGGAAAAAGTTGAAGTTGTCCAGCGGATCAATTGTTCGGATTCCGGGGATGTGTTTTCGGATAAGGCTCCGGGAGGAACTAACACTATTAAGCGGAAGCCGGTTGATAGGAAGTGAGAGGTTCGGGGTTTTTATCTACAGTAAAAAATTTTTCGTTAATTCAACACAATCGCTAGTGTTGTTCGATCAGTTCATTTTATAACACATAAAAATGGTATTTAATACTTGAGTAACACTTTTTAAATTTTAATCTCAAGTCTACAGAAAAATATGTCAAATTTACGCAATGCTGTTTTAAATATGACGCAGCTCGTTATTTGCACGAAAAGTGCGCACTTTGACTGAAGTCTTTGGGGTTGTTGATAAGTAACATAACCTTCAAGTCGTTAACAAGCTTATTTTTTTAATTTTCAATAAATTGTGTTTATTTAAAATTATTATTAATATTTTACATAAATTACCCCCATGAAAAAAAAGTATAAAAAAAGTTTATTTCGCAATATATAAAAAATATATTTTAAATATATTAAAAATCTATAAAAAATATATAAATACATAAAAGATATGTATAGTAAATATATTTTAGATATATTCAAAATACATAGTTAAAAATATAAAAAATAATATATTTTGAATATATCTAAAATATATTTACTATACATATCTTTTATGTATTTATATATTTTTTATAGATTTTTAATATATTTAAAATATATTTTTTATATATTGCGAAATAAACTTTTATTTAACACTTTTTTGTGTTAATTTAACATTTAACATTTTTCATTTAACATTTTTAACATTTTTCTGTGTTAATTTAACACAATTAATGTTAAATTTACACATAAAAGTGTTAAATATTTAACAAAAATTTTTAATACAAAATTTTTTGACGCAATGACGCAAAATTTTTTACTGTGTAAGTTTGTGTTACTTTATCAATACACACACGGATTGTGTTGAATTAAAACTAAGTTTGTGTAGAAAAAGTCGTTAACCCAAACTTTAGTGTTTAATTTGACGAAAAATTCGTTACTGTGGGATAGGATTTTTTATGATGTTGTAAAAGTGTTCAAGGTGTAAAGAAGAGTTATAATGTTTACGGGGTATTTTTATAGGGATTTTGTAGTACTTTTAATAATTTTATACACGCTTCGTGCCTTGCATAGGTCGATTGATGAGCAGCTTAAGCCTTTTATGTGTAAATATTTTAATGGATGGTTACAAGAATCAAATTCTAAGGCGATTTTATGACCAATGACTATGACGAGTGAAATTAGTAAATTAATTGTATAATCAAAGATTTGTTGTAAAAATTATTATTATTAATATTAATAAAAGTTGGTAATTTGTGATATATATTTTGTTTTATTTATTGTTTATTGAAGTAGAATTTTGAAGCGTTTTTTTCTGAAGTAATCGATGGTTTGAAATTGAAAGACTCCCTATAACGAAATTCTCTAAAGAAGTTTATTATTTTTTAGACCCTTATAGTCTTTGAGAGAATCCTTTGGAGCAATAGATAGAAAGAAAAATGGAGAGAGGGGGTGAAATTGCTGAGTAGAAATGGTGAACAACTGACAAAAAAGCATTACGGTAATACGAGCTCATCAAACGGAGCAGCTCTGTCTAAAGCTTCTCTTTATTTCAGTATAACGAGAGTTCAACATAATACCTATCTACGCTGACGTAATTGGAAATATTATTTTATTTTCGAATAATAATTTATAATTTATGAATTCGAATTTAAAATATGTAATTGAGTTGTTTTTTTAACGGAAATCATTAGTAGGTACTTGAATTGTAATGGTCGAGTCAATGAGCGTAATTTAATGGAAATAAATATTGTGTGAACAATAGGATCGGTGCGGCTGATAAACTATTACCGTTAACCGATATTACGCGCTCATTACCGCATTAGATTATTTTGGTTTATTTATAAAGATTGCTAATTGGGTTTCCTGCATAAAGTTAATGAGGTTATATATTATTTACAGCTCCGAATAAATAAGATGTAACTCATAAAATAATTTTTTATATGGCCTGATGTAGGTTTATTTAGTCATATGTTCGCATGTCGGTCTATATCTGACAATAAATAAATTTTAATAATAATTTTGAATTTTATAGAAAATATGTATACTAAAAAAAATTAACTTTGAACAAGAAAAAAATTTTTGAATCAAATAAAATTTACTCCAGCCAAAAAAAATTTAAAAATTTTCCTACTTAAAAATTTTCCTACGATAAAGCCCTTCAAAATTATTTTTCTGATTCAAATTAATTTTTTTTCTGTGTACTTAGATTATTATATCGTATTTGACGGAATTGATTTCATTAACTGATTAAACTTAAAAGAGAATTTACACTAAAATAAATTTTTATTTAGTTGGAACAAGTTTTATGCAGCAAATAATTGACAAATATTTTATGTAATTTGTCTCGGAGTTAAATTTTTTGATATTAGTTACATTTTTCAAATAATTTTACTTTGAAACACTGAAACAAATTTTCACAAAGGTTATTTTTCTTCTAAGTCTTGTTGATAATTTTTTCCATAAAAAGTAAACAATAATAACTTATTATCTTTACTATGTTTAATTAAATAAAATTAATTACTTTAATATTACAGAAACTCACTAACTTATGCCAATTTTTAAGATTTTTAAACAAATAAATTATTGTCGACAGAATTTATTAAAAAAAAGGACTTATTATTAATCAAAAACGTTGATGCAATTCTTTTTAAATTTTAAAATTTATTTATTGTATCAAAATATTTCTAAATACGCATTTTGTCACTTTTCAACGAATAACTTTTTTTTTATTTTTATTAAATAAATAAAAATAGAAATCACCGCACGGAGTTTTTTTTATTGATAATTTAAATAAAATCCTTTTCAGCGTAAATTTCACTCCAAAGATCAGTTTTAGATCTGTTCACATAATTTTTATATCATGCCATATCAGAAAATGTTCAAAATTTAACCAAAATACATCAAGCTTAATAACAAATCCCAATTTTTAAATTCTACAAAAATTATAGAGCTTCAAATAACATAATTTAAAAGGCTGCTAAATTGTGCAACAATTTCACTACGCTTCAGGCTTCGTTAATCATTTCAGCATGATCCAGTGTTGATTTAACATTTCTCCAGACGTCCATTGGACGTCGCAAGTGCGCTGCATATTTAATGCTTCCATTAATTATTTATTTACCAACTAAGAATTTGGAGTCCTTCGGCGCTCAAGAGTTAGCAGTTGTTAGAACTCGATACAGGAAATAGAAAAGGATAAACTAACTTGCAGAGGCGAGTTAACTGTCGCGATTTTCCTTATACTTCAAGGGTTTCAATCCTGAAATTGTTAAGCGGGTTTAGTGGATACTAAACTGCTCTCAGCTCAATCGGACGTCTATTGTTCTCAGTCAATGGGTAAGCAATGTAGGACCAAATTTATTAATTTACATCTATTTGCTTCACCATGGTACGTTACCGAACGGAAACTCGGCTTGGTTCGCGGAAGTTTTTAATCAATTGCATTCGAAACTTTGAATTATTGCTCCGAACTGTGCTTCATTATTTGCGCTATTGGATCTTTGATTATTCCTGATTGAAATTATTGAAACTTTCGGAGAATAGAAAATTAACTTAGCTAATTAATAATTTTTTTCTTTAGCGGGAAAGAAATTTTTTTAAACAAGTAAAATTTATTTTCTTATTTTAAAAATTTTTTTCGGTGGGAATAAAATTTTTTATGTTTAGGAAATTTAGTTTCTTATTCCAATAAATTTATGTTTCAATCTAAGTAGAAAATTTTTTGTTTCAAGGAAATTTTGTCCCTAGCCTGAAAATTGATAAAAAAAAAGATTTTCTTAAAATCAAGATTAAAAATTCAAGAATATTTTGTATAAGAATTTTTTTTATTTTATTGTAAGAAAATTTCTTGGACCAAAAATTGATCTTTAATTGAGAATTTTTTTTTTATTATATGTTCAACTTAAAACTATAATATAAGCTTTTAATTTTATTTTTTCCTGTTTGGTGTAGAAGTGTTAATGATAGTGGTTACAAGGGGTGAATTTAGATTGTTTCAAGACGGAAATATTTCAGCAGGCGACAACGTACTGAGTAAACACGGTAGGGCACTAAAGGGCTGGGAAACCGAAATTGGCTGGGGTTAACGGCAGACCGGCTCGTTACGGCGCTAACAACTCTATTGCCGGAGCGATTCCGGGGACTGTTGACCCGAAAATATTGTTTCGATAAATGTTACTCGTTATGTATGTATATGCTTGTTTACACAAGGGTTCATTTTTAAAGTCAATAGTAATTCATGTAACTTCATTAACTTTATTTTGAGAAATTAACTGAGGGCTGGAGAAAGAGTGGTGAGGTAAGTAGTAAATTTATGACATGAAACTTTTTTAATTTTTTTTTTAATAGGTCAAACTTCGATAATTTTCTTGTTCAAAATTGCAATAAGTTTTATAGAAATAGAAAGCTTTATCTATTTGTGGCAATCTTGAAAAAATAAAAGAATTATATACGGAAAAGTTTTTTTTTCTGTGAAAATTGCGCTTTGGTCCATTGCTGTAGCACTAAATACCGCTAACTTATAGGAAATTAAAAAAGAAATTCTAAATTTTTTAAATATCTTAAATTGGAAAACTTTAAAATAAAAAAAAGTACTTAGGATTAAAATTAAGGGCTCAAATTTTGAAAGAATTTTTTTTTCAATGTATAGAATAAATATTTTGCTGGAGGAGTAAAAAAAAGAATTGCTGAAAAAAATCATTGTCTTATTTTTAATAAACTTTACACAATAATATTCAAGATTGTTCGAAAAAAAACTAAATCATATTAATTTTTTTAATAAAAAAAATTTTTTTCCCAAAAAATTTGACAATTCCAAAAGCCTCTAAGTAACGCATCATCTTTTTCTCCCCCTAATCCCTTGCATTATTTGAAAGATAAGGCAATGAACTGTAAAATGAAATTATTAATTGACCCCGCGTGAACGTGGCAGCA